ACAATATTTCCGAATGGAAGAAGGTGAAGATGTGATCGGCTTCTGCTTCTAAGTCCAGTCTCAAAAAGGATGCAATCTGTACGGGTTGGGTCAACAACGATCCTGGAGTAACGATTCACAACGATACTGAAGTTGAGTAAGCTTGGCTTGGCGAAATAGGTGCAGCGTGTCATGTGGACCAGTGCCGCAAGCTGGGCGGATGTTCTACACATCGCTATCAATCCGAGCCCAATAGGAATTGACGCGGATGCACCATCCGGATCTTAACTGAACCAAAACTACTCGGGTTTGACAGGGTAGCTCTCGTTATTCAGGTGCGATGGGGGGATGGTCTCCTAGTACAGTATTCACTCTATATCCGCGTTAGAGTGAATACTATTCAGTCCCGCCTGATAGGCCTGTTGATCTAGGAGCTATCTCTTATACCTCTGTACCTCTCTAGATCATGTTGTTAAGATTGAAAAGATTGTTATTAAAGAAAATGTCTCTACCGATTTGGTCTAACATCTTCAAAGTTGTTGTATTTTCACCAAACGATGACCTAGTTTGAAAATGGTCAACAGGTCCAGGTCCACACCTGTCCCCAATCTTGGTCAAGTGCCAAAATAATAAAGAAAAGTATCAGCCCACTCTTTCCGGTACCTCCTCCTCAAAGTTTCAACATTTTGAAGGGTCATAAAATTTAATATCGAGAGGTACCACTATATTGAGGACATACATTTCCCAGAAAAAAAGTAAAAACAAGTAAAAGGTATAACCTGGAATTTTACAACAGCTCTTTTTGGGACTTAAATGGTCGATTAATGCAAATTTCGTTTGATTAGTTTAAATTCTGGCCAGTGTAGTATATATAGACTTTATAAGCTTCTACTATTTACATTTAAAAAGTGCTCGTACTGATACATATTAATTTTAATTTGATGTTGAATCCAATTAATATTCGAAATTTTAGTATCTTGTATCTCAAGGATTGAAATATTGATTTTTGTCTTTTTTAGATTTGGTTCTTTTTTTTGCCTTAATATGACCTTAATTTTAGCTTTGTAGACATTTAAGTTTTTTTATGAAATCCATAGGAAGGATGCGACATGTATAAAGTCTCCTAAGGAAAACTGGGTTAATCCCATCATATGATTTTTATGGAACTCTATTCCGCTAAGTTTGGATTTGGCTAAGAAAACCTTTAATAGCACACGGCATAGCAATAAATTACAAATTTTTCTGAGAACAAATTTTAAACCTACCCAACAAAAATAATAATATCAGTAATAGTTTTCGAGGACTTAATTTTGTGTTGACGTAAAAAATAAGACCTTTGAGAAAACCGAGAGAAAAACAATTTATTCCGTTTGACCCCTATAATATTAGGAATAACCCCTATAGTATCGGAATTATGAACAAAGTTTTGACTTCGTTCAGCTTGTTTTTAATCGCAATGGCCGAAAAAAGGCAATATTCCATTCGGCAAATATTGATAATGAGCTCGGGGTAAAGCCATTGAAATTGCAAAAAGTGCAAGAACTTACACCGCAAAAGAAAGAAAGTAAACTCAAAAGAGCTAAAGAGTTGTTTCGCTTGGCCGAAAGTGGTGAACTGCCGAATTTGGTTTTCTCCGATGAGAAAACAATTGTTGCCCAGCAGTTTGTAAACAAACAAAATGATCGTGTTTACTAGCCTAAGAGGTCAGCTGAAAATATGCACCTTCGGTTGGTCACCAGAACTCAAGCGCCGGCCATGGTAATGGTGTGGGCCGCCATAACAGCCGATGACCGCTCTCTGCTCGTATTAATAGACCGTGGCATCAGAATAAATGCCGAATATTATCGCGAAAATATTCTGCAGGGTGTATTAAAGCCTTGGCACGCAAACATTTTGGCCGCAGACCTTGGACATTTCAACAGGACTCACCACCATCGCACTCAGCTCGCGCCACCCAAGAATGTTTACAAAATGAGGTTTCTCGCTTCATTTCCAGCGCACAATGTCCGGATACCAATCCATTGGACTATTGCGTCTGGAGTATTTTGGAGAGCAAGGTTGACACTAAAAAATACCAAAGTGTTGATCATCTCAAGCAAGCGCTTCGCTTCGCTTCGGAATTGGGCAAAAATACCGCAGAGCAACATTCAGGCAGCGTCTGACGGTTTCATTGGCCGTTTGAAGGTCATATTCGTTTGAAGGTCATATTCGTACCAAAGGTGACCAATTCGTATAAATCCAAACATATTCTAAAATTTGATGCTATTTCCGACATTTTTTGCTTTCATTCAATAAAATTAAACAAAAATGTTAAAAATATGGCGTTTGACTTTGTTGCAGTTTTTTTATCTCGCCCTGTACTATATTTTTCTATTCTATGTCTAAGAGGGCATATGCTAATGAAAATCATAAAAATAATAATATTTTCTTAAACCACAGATGCAAATGAAACAAAAATCAATACGTTGAAAATCATTGTCGCCAAACTGTACCAACAAAGTATATAATAGTGTGGCAGGTTAAGTTAGAGGGTATGGCGTTACAATTGAGATTGTTAGTATCTCGGAAACCATTCGGTCCATTGTGATCATTCTGCGTGAAAAGGAAGAATAGATCTTTGTAGAGAAGGAGAAAGAATAGAGAGAGTGTTGCCAGAGCCAGTAAAGCCTTTTTGCGAAATTACAGAAGACAAAGGGTTCAGTGTCTAAATGAACATTGAGATCATGATTCGAATGTTCCCCACAGTTCGTAGTCATTAAGCAAGTATTCGATGTTAAGAGTAATCCCATTTGGCTCACTGTTATCTGTAACGTTGATGTACTCATGCTAAGTAGAGACTGAGTTGAACACGATCAGATGTCTGGTCAGATTTATTTTGATACCTTGCAACGTGGTTCGTTGGTACACTTTGGCTTTCTTGCTGAAGACTAGTTCCAGGGGTTTTAACATGTCGACGAACTCAGGGTCTGTTTACTGCGAACCCATACTTGTCAATTCATCGGCTTTTTCATTATTCATTATAGTGTGGTAACTCGCGAGTAAAGTCGAGTTTATCGGGTCTGCCTATTTTTATACCCTACAACACTATGTGTTGGAGATATTATAAGTTTGATTAGTCCAAAAATTATGTAACACCTCGAAATATTGGTTTCCCACAGGATAGTATATATGAATCTTCCTATCTCGCCGAGCTGAGTAGATCTAGCTATGTATATCTGTCCGTCTGTCCATGTTAATTTGTAATCACGCAATTATGGACCGATCCTCATGAAATTGTAAATGGAGGTGGGGATAGGGTCAGAATAGAACCCTATTGTTTTTGGAGATAATCGCAAAATATTTAGGGTTTGAAATGGACCAAAAACTGAAAAATTTCCTGATTTTGCAGTTGCTCTACAGGTCGCAATTATAGACCAATCGACGCGGAAGTTAGCATGGGGCTAGATCCTTGGGCTGGGCAGAAGCCTTCCAATTTGGATGGTCATCGGGTAATATTTAGCGACTGGAATATACCATAACATTTGTGTTAAATAAGGGTAAAATTTTCCATTAAACCGCGAATATTTTTAATCCCGACGAAATCTCAAATAGACGAACAGGCCAATTCTGGCCGTTACGTAGATGCCGATAGTAAATATATCGGATATATATAGCGAAATATATACAATGTGTATATACAAGGGAAAGGGATGTTAGATATAATGCTTATATCTCATGAATGGCTGATCCGATTTTGATATATTTCGTAAATTCCGAATGCCCTCTTGGCATACAACACACCGAACCTCACGAAAATTTTCATAAGGGTAGGGCTAGGCTCAGAGGGGCTTGGCCTATTGTTTTTAAAGATGTCCGCAATATATTTAGGGGTTTAAATGGACCAACAACTAAAAATGTTCCTGGTTTTGCAGCCGTTATAAAGGTCACAAATAGAAACCAAAGGACACGAAATCTTGCATGAAGTTATAATTTAGGACAGCGGGTAGAATGGACCACTACTTTTGTGTAAAAAATACCAACATTACTTACAGACGATATCCGAAATACACAAAAGGTGAACTTCTGGCTTTTTTTTGCTGATTTCGTTGACGAATATGACCAAATATCGTAGACAAGCAAATCATATAGATGAGTCCAAATTTGGAGATACCAAATCAACAAATATTCAAAAACAGAAAAAATCCTGATCACACAATTGAAGCCAATCTACTCACCTACAAAGTGAGTTAAGGACAGAGAAGAATTCTAGCACTTTGGATGATCATTGAATTGTATTTAGCTGTAAAATGGACCACAACAACTAACAACACGACGGAGTGCGTAAATATTGGGCAAATGTCCCTGGTCTAAAAGCTACGGGTAATATCTGGACAGTGCTCCATGACATAACTTCAAAAGCGAAATCTTCTAAAATGGATTTGGACATAAGGGGGCTTCGAACATATTGTAGTGTTGTAGGGTATCACAGTATCGGGCCCGCACGACTATAGCCTTTGCTTACTTGTTTTATATCTATATATCAATGAAGACAGTACCCAATTCAAGAAACATTAGGCCTAAGGACGTGCAATTGCAAATTTCAATAGAAGGGTTTGTTTTCTATGTATATGTCATACGTATTCCTCATTTTCAATGTCACTAAAATTATACCAGAACTAGATTAGGTTTTAAATACTGACCGCAAAAATACGGCAGCTAACCACACAACCAAACCATTTGATCAAATCTTTGATTATCCTTGTGTCATAAAACGCGCTCCTTGAAGCTAATGCTGAAGCATTTTTCAATTTGTATTATCACAACAAACATTGATTGTTAGCCAATAAGTGGATGCTTAAGTTGAAATAATAAAAACGGAATTCCCACCATCATCCGTTCCATCCCATAAACGTCGCCCCACATACCTCATACAGATGAAGTTAAAGATTTTGCATTCAAACGCTTAATCGACACACAGATGTGTACACACAAAATCAAAATGCGAACACACGCACAGACCGATAACTGGCACAACCACTCACCTGTTCGACTGTCGATGGCGATAATTTGTTCATCCGAACTCATCCAAATCGATGACAATGGCAGCGGAGAATCAAAGCATATAATATCACCGACAGAGAAAATTGTCTAAAGTAAACATTTCAAGGAAATCCCCCATGCACACGCATCATCAATCCGCAAGAACCAATAAACCAGCAGCGGTGCCAAATGACGAAGGAGTCAGTCATTGAAATCCATTCACCGCATCACAGGACCATCATCAACAGCAATACCAGACCAGCAGCCAGCATCGAATTAGCATCCCCCATCCAGGCCACCGACAGAGCAGCGCAAGCGAATAACAACGTTTGCAATATTATTATGGTTGGCGATGATAATGTTGTTGTTGCGTTTGTTGTTGTTGACGCCGTTGTTGGGAATATAAAATCAACATGTTGATTATTCAATGGCATTACGGACGGACGAATTGTGGGGGGTGGAGTGCGATTGAAAAATCATTGAACACAGCAATACCGGCATAATCGTCACCAACATCCGTCGATATAGTTAGTGGCGATAGTGACAGTGGCGGCGGCAGCGGCAGCGGTGGCGGTTGTGACGATAGCAACAGCACAGGTAAGAGCCGTTGTAGCAGGATGTAGTGTTGACAGTGTCATAGTTTTACCACAGGATGCATTTTAGTTCCATCAGCAGTAGTTGACATCGAACATTTTTTGGTAGATGATCATCCAAAGAGGGGGCCAGGCCAACAAAACGGGACAGGTGGAATTTCGGCGATGAGCAACGACCATCGATAGCGGCGGCGATGATGACGACGATGATGACAATGACAATGTTAACACCAGTGCATACATTTGCCATTGTGATTCGGGAAAATCGTGTGCAAGAAAAAAAAGAAATAAAAATAGAAAATCAAGTTAGTTTACATTACCATAAGCTGTAAAATCGATGTTGAGTGCAAGCATGAAGGTAAAGGACAAAAAACACACACACAGACACAAATACACTGCCACCACCTGGTCGAGAGTTGAATTTCTAACATGCATTGGAAGCAAATCTATTAAAAGCTCAAATAAAATATTCACTTCGTGTTGTACTCGAGTCTGAAACTCGCTGGGACATTAATCCAAATACATAAAAGATTTGTGTTTTAGGATTTTATTTTATAGACAGTTTTAAAGTTTTTCTATAACCCTTTTTAGTGAACATCAATGTTGAGTCTGTCGAAAGATCCTAACTTTACTAAATAAATTTGCATCTAGATATAGAAGATTTAGGGTATTATTGGTATTACTCTGAGATCGGCTATGCGGTCTATTTAAAAATGATTAAAAAATATAATAAAAAAGGCATCAATCGAACGGAACTTACGGTACGCCTAGCAATAACCTGGCAGACCGCCCTATCGAGTTGTAAGAGTCAAACAAGGTTTTCTTATCAGCTCTCCAGGTGCTGCCGCAAGCAACCTTTTGTGTATGGCTAAGGCTATATAAAGTGTCCTTACAATATTTTGGCCAATCCCACGGCAGCGGGTTCTACGATACCGATTTGACCCGAAACAACAAGATCCCAGTTTCGGACAGCGGCTGCCAACCCAGTATGTACATGTTTGTGTTTGTTTATTTTTCTGCATTGGGAGCAGCAAGCGGAGGAATATTAAGATCGCAGCGGTGCAGGAAACCAAGCTGAATAAAAATTGCAGCCTACAACGTTGTTATGGTTACAACGTACTAAGGAAGGATCGCACCAGAAGTGTAGGTGGGGGATTAGCGCTCCCGTTACACCATTCTGTTCAGTACAGACCTATCTCGCTTGAGCTAGTCTCTAGTGGCCCATACATGGAATGTATGGGGGTAGCAATCAAGTGTGGAACTGCCGAGGTAGAGGTGCTTAATGTGTATATCCCGCCGATTAATAGCTGTGAACCGCGTTATTTGCCTGACATTAGCCCATTATTGGTAGGCAATAACCGCCTGGTACTAGGGTATTTTAATGCCCACCATGAGTTGTGGCATTCCGTCCTAGGTAATGACCAGAGGGGATCAGCGCTGGCAGAGCAGATCGACTGCTCCACATTCTGCACGGTGAACGAGGATGCCCCCACCCGAATAAGAGGAGAGTGTCACAGTTCGCCAGACTTAACCATAGTGTCACCCGGTCTGATAAATGACGTGACTTGGCAACCCGTCATTTCTCTTGGCTTAGACCATCTCCCGATAATCGTCTCCATAAGCAGGTCGCCCGATTTCATAACCTCTCAATGCCGCACTTTCCTTAACTATGGGAAAGCTGGCCAGAGTTCAGAGAATTCACCAACCGCCGCTTCAGAGAACTGCCCAACCCTTCTGATGTTCGGGTAGCAGAAAGGATTTTCCGAAACATCATCAAAGCTGCAGCCGCTCGCTATATACCTGCTGGTCGAATATCCGAGATAAGACCAAACTTCCCAGCAGAGGCAGCGGCATTAGCAATCGAGCGTGATGATCTCCGTCGTACCAACCCTACTGATCCTAGAATCATTGATTTGACAGTGGAAGTCAACCGGTTGGTACAGGGGCATAAGAGGAAAAAGTGGCTAGACCATCTGAAGTGCTGCAACATTGGAACCGATATGAGTAAGCTCAGTGAGACCTCAATCACTTTTAACGACGTAACGGTGACTGATCCGAAGAGGTGCGCGGAATATTTTAACCGACAATTTGTCGAGCAACCCGAGAGCGATAGTGCGAAGCGATAAGTACTACGTTGTATCAGATCTCTTCCCGCTGAGGAGGAACCACCACAGTTTACGATGGGTGATGTTGAAAATGTCATCCGTAACGCTAAGTCATCCAAAGCGTTGGGCCCGGACGGAATCTCAATGGTAATGTTGAAGCAGCTGGATACGCCGGGAGTCGAGTACTTAACGAAAGTTCTCAATTTGTCGCTAGTTACCCACATAGTGCCCGAAACCTGGAAAATGAGCCGGGTGGTCCCGCTACTGAAGCCAGGCAAGGATGCCAGTAAAGGCGAATCGTACAGGCCGATTTCGCTTTTGTCGCCAGTAGCAAAGACTCTTTAGGCTTTACTCCTCCCCAGCATTAGAGGAAGCTATACAGTTGCCAACCACCAACACGGATTCCGTCCACAACATAGTACCACAACAGCATTACACGCCATTTCCACACATATTAGTAGAGGACTTAACCAGAACAGGCCGTGTGACAAAACAGTGTTGGTAGCCCTTGACCTATCAAAGACATTTGATACGGTCAATCATGCCACACTGTTTGAGGACGTGCAGAGAACTACCCTCCGGCCAAGTTTGAAACGTTGGATAATCAACTATATGTGTGGACGCCAGTCGTACGTGGAATTCCGGAACAAGAAGTCCAAAGCCCGTAGAGTGAAACAGGGAGTTCCCCAAGGTGGGGTGATATCTCCGGAACTGTTTAACCTCTACCTTTCCGGAATTCCTCGCCCTCCAGAGGGCATTGAGATCGTAATGTATGCGGATGATTGTACGATCATGGCGTCGGGTCCAGTGGTCGATGACATATGCGAAAGGTTGAACCCCTATCTCACGGAGCTTGCCGCATACTTCCACGCGAGGAATATGAAAATATCCGCCATGAATTCAACGGCCTCACTCTTTACCACATGGTCTGCGGAGATGAGAACACAGCTGAATGTTCAGGTCGAGGGGAATCTAATGCCGACCACGAACTACCCAAAGATTCTTGGGGTCAAGTTCGATAGCATGTTTAAGTCGTCCGCGCAAGCCACAGCTATCTGCGACAAGATGAAAAGTAGGAACAAGGTCCTCAAGGCGCTAGCCGGCAGCTCTTGGGGTGCGGACAAAGAAACCTTGTTGACCTCTTATAACGCGATAGGTCGGTCTGTGGTCAGCTATGCGGCTCTAGTGTGGTCTGCGAATACTAGTGCTACGCAGTGGAAGCATATCCAGACCTGCCAGAACGCTGCCCTGAGAACTGCGACAGGGTGCCTCCTCATGACACCAGTGGACCATCTACATGAGGAGGCGAATGTCCTTCCCTTACGTCAGCATAATCATATGCTTTCGTTGCAGTACCTGCTTGGGTGTTACCGTGAGAATCATCCAAACCATCATATGGGGGATAAGTCTCCCCCACCCAGGAGTGTCAGGAAGGACATACATGATCTAGAGAGGGAGGTCCAGCGCTACAAGAGAGAGCCTCTAGATCAAGAAGCCTATCAGGCAGGTCTGAGTGGCATTCACACCGATGCAGTAGCGGATGCTATTAGCAGTTATAAAGTGATTGCCGTCCTCAGAGTCCACCCCCATCCATTGCAGCTGAAGAACGTCGGGTGACTAGACAAACCAGGGTGGTTTTGGCGCAATTACGTTCAGGATGGTGTAGTCGTCTCAATTCGTATTGGGCACGAATTGATAAAGATGTGCGTGACGCCTGCCCGGCGTGTGATACAGGCCCGCACAATACGCTACACCTTTTTAATTGCTCCACCAACACACTCCAGAAGATCTCTGGCTACAGCCCGTTAAAGTAGCCGAATTTCTAAACCTGGAGCTGGAACCAGATTAGCAGAACGCAAACACATACATGTACTACTGCTACAACAACAACAACAAAATTTTGGCCTAAGAAACCCAGATTCTAGAAAAAAACTACTTAGAATTTTCCAAACTCCAGATTGGATGGTGCACGGTGTTAGTTTACAGAACTATTATTTTATTTTGTACACCAATATGGATGAGATATTTTTTATACTCTCAGACATATGGCTAGGGAGGGTGTATATAATTTGAAACGGCCAAAACGGGCCTCATCGAAATAACAGTTTGTTACCCTGTTTCTCTTTAGAACAAATCCATTTCATGGCATTTGGAGTCGATCTAGCAATGTCCATCCGTCTGTCAGTCTGCTGCCTTGTGTGCAAGCTCATAAAACGCGAAATTAACATCCGATTTCATTCAGACTTGATACTCCTCAATAATAGTCCAAACTGGCGCTTCGCAATATTTATATCATATTTATTTAGGTCCAATACGAAGAGGACAATATTGACTCATAATGAAATTTTAAAAATTCTGTGACACTTTCCACGAAATATTATGTACAAGGATTGGAACCTTCGAGTTTTTA